TGTGTGTAATCTTATTTTTATTTTATCAGGGCAAATGGCCATTATTCAGCCAACTATTTGGGTTAAACGGGTTTACTTCCTGATTGGCCAGGCAGCTCTTCTGAGCATGCTCAATGCTCTAAGGCCACACCTGCACAGGGTTAGCTGTGGTTTTGACTATCATTGGATACAACCCAATGGACATGTTCTAAGTTGGAATAACAGGAGTCATGTATGGCTCCACATGTATTATTTTTTGGAACACCCAATAAATTATCCATGGTCCTGGTGAAAATCAGTTTGGCTTTTTCTAAAAAAAAATTGAGATCTCTTGCTTGGGCTTTCTCAGGAGTGTCTCTCCCCCACCCCCATGTGTGGAATGCTCTCCCCAGAAGGCATGTCTGGCCGTCTTTAGCTGTTTTTTGGTGTCATGCAAAAACTTTTGGCTTCTTAAGGGTGGCATTGTGACCTGTTTCAGTGGGGAGGGATCTGGGTCCCAACTGTATAGTTCTATGATTCCATGAACATTTTAACAGCATATGATGTGTGGGGTGTGGGTGGGTGTGTGGTGCCCATTTCATTTGTTGGCCCCCTGGCCCCCTGGCCATGGATAAGTAACTCCAGAGCTAATCAACCTTCCTCTACACAGATGAGTTCTGCAAGGGCAAAAGATCAGCGGAAGGGAGCTGACTGGCAGTGCCACCCCTTGGGTCTGTTGTAATTAAAAAGCTGCCAGGTTAGAGGAAGGTTGATTGAAGTTATGGGGCCCTGTGCCTCATTTGTCCTGAGGCTTTAGCCCATTCCTGCCCATGGCATTGGATACAGCCCAAAGAGAACGATGAGCAGTCCCGCCCCCCCTCTATCTACTACACTGACCTTCCTGATGCAAATCGAAAAGATGTTCAGGGGAAGAAAGTCACTGACAGGCAAGTCAATGTAGGGAGCGTAGAAAGTCACTTCTGCAGCAGTGAGTCCTTAACCTCTCTTCTTTCTACAAATAGGGACTGCTGAGTCAGATATTCCTTCAGCAGGGCGTTAAGGAGGGCACAGCAATCATCCAAGATGTGCCATCGTTCAGTGAAGCCACATAAGGCAAGGAGCCAGTGCAACAGAGTAGTCCTCATTGCGGATCTTCCTCCTTGGCACCTCAACCCAGAATGCAGGATCCCAGATTGATCTGAAGATCAGTTCCTTTGGACCCCAACCACCCACATATCTGAGGACCTTGATGCTTATGGATTCGGTTCAGCTCCAGGTTTTTAGGGAGGGGGGTTGGGGGTTGGGCAGGAAGTCTTGATTTCATGCACAAGTCCACTCTGCCCCCATCCCAAAAGGCTCTGGAAGGGGTGGAATTGGAGCCCATTTCAGGGAAAGAACATGCATAGCCATAACCACATAACATGAACCTACACATTACAATAGTGGTGGAAAGAGGAGCTTAACAGAATCTGTGTGACATCACACAATCTACACACTTTTTACTGTACAATCCTATTTAGGAAATTATCCTTAATATAACTTCAAATAACGAAACATTCTTCGTTTTAATTTCTAAAGTATAAGCAATCAATTGTGGCAAGAGGAGAAAAGCTTTTAAAAAACTTCAATTGATGTTTTGTTTTCACATAATTAATAAAGAGGGCATTGCACGGCACATCGCTCCCTTGTGTATTTTTTCTTAAATGTGTCATTTCTGTCCTTGAATTGTGAACATGCCTCCTGATCGCCTGGCAGAGAGATGTGTGATTGCGGAAAATGTCAGAGGTTTGCAGCAGAGTTCATTCAGTGTGTAATTTAAGGGTTAACTCTGTTATGAGTAAAGTCAGCAAACCGAAAAGGTGGTGGTGGAGGCATTGCATTCCTTAGGCCAGCCTATCCAGACATTTTAAATGCTTTTTAAAAATTCTTTTCAACTGGTTTTTAATGAATACAAACACACACACACACACACACACACACACACACACCCTTAGAAGTTTTACTGTAATCAAGAGCTATTGAAATTTTGTTGAATAAAAAAGGAAACAAACCAGGTATGATCTTCATGGAGGTAGCACATGGTCTGCTTGGCTGCTTAGTACAAAGGGAATTTTTCCACTGTATGTTTGGTTGCGTGTCTCCCTCCCCAGTGCAAGTGCTGGGTTAAGAATGACCACAACCTCTATGTCTCTTTCTCCTCAAATTAAACACGGCGTTTCTTCTGTTTGCTCAGTAAATTAGGAAATGTTATTTTCCATTGGCAGAGTTTTAATTAATGGTGTGCCAAAACCCACCATCTGATTTCTAGAACCTGTTTCTTCCCCTGAGAAAGAGGCATCAATTCTCCCACATATGAGAAATTCTTTAGAATTAATTCATAAGGACTTCATTTTTATGAACAACAGCACACCAGCAGATAAGCAATTTTTTATTACATAGTAGTCAGGTACTGCCTTTCCCTGTACTGGCAAGGGAAAAACTTAGCTGAGGATGTGATGAGGGGTTTTGAGGATGAGCAGGAAGTTGGAGAGGCATTAGTTGGCAACACCTCTCTCTCCAGGCGAAAGGATTCCTCTCAGATGACCCGTGAACACCTTTTGCCATGTTAACAGATTTGCTCTTTGCTAGGCCATCCAGGCTGGTTTTCATAAGCTAGCCCAGGGATTCCTTGTCTGACACAGTTCTGCAGTTTGTACTTTCATCCATATCCCAGTTCATCAAAATCCTACCATTTATCAGTTTCTAGGGTTTAGGGGGTTCCCCCCAAATCTATAGAAATATGTTCCTGAATATGCAGCATCCCCTGAATTGACCTGATGCTTTGCAAGGGTCACCAACCGACCTGAAAATACCTGGCCCAGAAGTATCCTGAGCAGTAAAGTCTAGCTGCTCATTCACCAAGGAATTGGTCCATTCTAGGGAGTCCTCAACCCTGAGGCCCCCTTTCTCCCTGACAGCAAGGGAGCTATCCTTGTGGGAGTGGGACAAAGCTAGTACACTCCCGGAGGCCTCATCCACCAACCTCTCTGCCTCCCATTAGTCACCTTGGCCTCAAGGGAAATGATGCCGAATAATAGCTAAAGGAGCTGAAAGCCAAGACCAAAAACCAAATGAAGAGATATATGAACCTTTTCCTCAATTTTGCCTTTTAGTCTGCTCTCATTTTAACTCGCTCCTCCCGCTATTTCTCTCCTTCGAATCCTTTCTTTCCCTTTGTCAAATAAAGCATTTTTCTTTCTTCTCTGCACTGCCCATTACTCTATTTCCTGAATTGTCTGCATAGGTGCCAACTATGCAAGGTCCTGGGTGCCTGGGCACCCACAAATTTTAAATGAAGGGGACACCCCCAACGTTCTATTGCATGGTGTGTACATGGTCCACAGGGTGTGCAATTGATGTCAGCACGCTGCGGGACGTGCCGACATCACTCACGCACGGACGCATGCCACAGTAACGTCACCTTGCCCCAGGCACCCACTGTTGTGGGGGCAAGGCGACGCGCCTGATTGTCTCCATTTGTGCCTTCAATACTTCACCTTTAAGAAACTCCCTTCTCTTTTAGTATTTCTGACTATCTGATCTCGTCCAGAGCACAGCTGAGACAAGCCTAGTTAGCTCAGTTGGCTAGAGCATGGTGCTGGTAATGCCAAGGTTGCAGGTTCGATTCCCGTATATGAGACAGCTGCATATTCCTGCTTTGCAGTGGGTTGGACGAGATGATCCTCAGGGTTCCTTCCAACTCAACAATTCTGTGATTCTGCTCAAGAATACATGGATAGAAATGCACCCTGTGTGTGCTCAGAAGGGCTCTTTTAAAGCCTGCAAAGACATGGTGCCTCCAAGAGGTAGGTGCAGGGGGTACTGATGTCTGGGGACCACAGCCAGCAGGGAACCCAGACTTGGAGCTTTCATGTTCTTTCTTTCAGAAGCCCATCTGTGTTCCCGCTGGAAATGAAGTTATGAAGCAGAACCCCCACCCCTCTAGTGCATTGTTCTCGTCCTCAAGTTGTAACCCTTTGAATAACCACAATCTGCCTTTTGTTTTTTACTAGCAAGAAGTACAGATCTTTCCTGGGGTGGGTTTGTCTGCAATCAGGGGCTCCCTAGAAATGATCTTCTGCAATAAGTGTGGGTGGGTCTAAGAGGATTCCCTGACCCCAAATAACAAATGCAAAATGTAACAACTGTTCAGTGAGGCTTAGGCAAGAAGAAGAAGAGTTTGAACTTGATATCCCGCCTTTCACTCCCCTTAAGGAGTCTCAAAGCGGCTAACAATATCCTTTCCCTTCCTCTCCCACAACAAACACTCTGTGAGGTGAGTGAGGCTGAGAGACTTCATAGAAGTGTGACTAGCCCAAGGTCACCCAGCGGCTGCATGTGGAGGAGCGGGGAAGCGAACCCAGTTCACCAGATTACGAGTCCACCGCTTTTAACCACTATACCAGAAGCTAAAGACTGGGCACTCAGTGAGAACTCACAGTATATTTAGATTAATGTAAAACTGTATACATGTCTAGTTTGAACTCTCTTTGTGGCTTTAACAGATGTGTGTGTCTGGGAGAAATTCAACAGGTTAGGCTTTTCTTCTAGGAGATTCCATTCTGGAGAAAAGCTTCACTACCAGGTATCAAACTATCAGTGTGTACATAAAAGGGTATATCTTGGGGCCTGACAATGCACCTAAAAAGGGGACACAACTTTGAATATGACATGAGGCATATGCATTTTTATTTTTTATTTTTTTGCAGAGCTTTTTCCTCTTTTCAGAGTATGCTGGAAGGTGCAGTATGTGGGTGCACCTCTGGATGAACATCTTGTAGGTTCACATTCAAGACACCAAATGACAGGCTTGAAGACCACAATTTATTTGCAATTGCTGAATTTTGACAGGTTCCTTGAGGCAACTGGGGTGACTGCCCATAAAATCAGGGTTCAGGGCTAATGGAACACGGGAATGGAGTGGAGGTATCAAGCAGTGAAGGTGTGCCTTTGAGATCTTTTGGTGAACCTGCTGAGCATCTGGGTTGATTGCAATCTGCTTCTCAGTTTTCTTCAGCCATAGGCGCCTCTGCATCTGTGAGGAGAAAGTAGAGGGCATGTGATTCATTACTCTGAAAGATCAGCCCTCAGGAAGGCAGGAACCACACAATTAGAGAACTGAGAGGGACTTTGGAAGTCATTGAGTCCAGTCCCTTTCATTACAAGCATACCCAACTTGTGGCTTTCTAAAAAAAGTAGGGGCATTCTTGCTCTCTCAATGCCAAACACAAATCTGTTGGGATTGGGTCCATTGTCCCCCTGTTTTTACCATCAGGAATTGCCTCCTAACGTTCTACCAAAATCTACTTTCCTGCAACTTAAGCCACAAGACCCACTCCTCTCCTCTGGGGCAGCAAAGGATGATTCTTTGCCATCTTCCAATTGAGAGCCTTCCATGGATGTAAAGAGTGTTCTCCTCTCCTCTCCCCCTTCACTCTTCTATTCTCTAGGCTGAACCAACTATGTGTTGTATCCAATGTTAGTGCCAGTTCAAGTAGGCCCATTGAAATTAAAGAGCATGCCTAACATAGGTCCATTAATTCCAATGGCTCTAATCGGAATATAAATCAGTTGGATATGACTACATGCTTCTTGGGTCTCTGCTCATCCTTATTGCCCTCCCCCCAACTCATCCTGAGTCCTCTATTGATTGCCTTCTCATCTTCCTAGAGCAGCATTCACCTTGTTTAATACTGGAGCAAATGATAGACATTCAGCAAGTCAGTAACTTCCCATCATGGATACTTCTTTGTTAGCAAAGTTACACCTGCTGAATTCTTGTCTGCTAGAATTAAAGGAACAGGAGCACCTGCCATGAACAGAACAGCCAAAACAGAAAGCCATCTTAACCAGGAAGTTGCCAGCCTAGGTGTTCTCTCTCACTGCCCAAATCACGTTTGAAAGGACAATTCTGCTGAAGCCCATAGAAAGGGTTGAAGTGTGCAGTTGGCCTTAGTTTATGTTTAATGCCTGAAAAACTTTCCCCTGTACTCCAATGTGCCCTCAAGACAAGATGTTAGCGAACCATGATCAAGACCATAAATGGTGCGGATCTCATTTCTCAGAGAGGAAGGACTTTTAAATAATTCATTGGAGGAAAAGGGAAAGCTGCCAAAGCATAGAGACTATCCAAAAGGTTCATCATCCTTTTCCCCCATCCCCCAGAATCTTCCGGTCCATACCAACCTCTTTTGCTTACATAACTTCCTGTGGGTTTCCAATTTTCGTCATAACAAATACATTCCATTTTTCCCGCACTAGAAATAGAAAGAGGTGCAGCTTAAGATCTGAGTATGCATCTCCAACACATATTAAAAATGACTGAACAGCTTCCTCCACCGCAACAACCATGCCTCTGAATCCTGGAATGATTGTATGGATATCAGCTGAAACAGCTATCCTTAAAAATTATTTAGGGGAATTCAAGCCACTTAGAAAACAATAATGCACTGTATCCCATCTTAGTCCTCCTCAGAGTAGACTGAATTTGCATCAATGGACATGACTAAATAGATTCCATGAATCTAAGCCCACTATTTATAGTGTGTGTCCTTTGAGGTAGACGTAGGCTTACAGTGAAGACGTCGTAGACCACTGATGAGCAGAAAATTGACATCCATCAATTTAGTTGGTTTGCAGGTGGTTTAGCCCCAATCTTACATGGATGCAGAGTGGTTGATTGTGCAATGGCACCAGCCTTCCTGAATGCACAAAGTGCCCTCCAGGTGTTTCACACTACAGCTCCAGCCAGTTTGGCCAACAACCAGAGGTGCTGTAGCATCCAAAGAATCTGAAGGGTACCAGGTTAGGGAGCATGGAGCACACTAATAACATTAATCGTAATGATAATAATAGAGAATGGAGAATAGCTTCCTGGTTTCAGCACACCTATGTGATGAACACAGAGTGTTCCCGGAGCTTCACAAATCCCCACTATCTGCCTTTCCTTAGCTTTTAAACCAGGACAGCCTCTCTACCCTTTCCCTGCTGAGGAATTTCCAGAATGCCAACTGGGTGCCCATTCTTGTGTCCCTGAACCTCCACCCTCTTTGAACTGCTCCTTGTGGGACTCTGGCCTTCCTTTGTTTCGGATTTTATGATCTGCTACACACCAGTCTGCCATGCCTCTCCAGGTACAAGGATGTCCTCACCAAGCATCTGAAAGGATTTCCTTTTCCTTTCATACTTACGCATTTGGTGTACATCTCTGACGACCGCAGCCTCCGGCCATTGAACAGCTCATGAGTGCCAGAACAGACACCAAGATCACAAGATTCTTCATGATGGATGGAGAGGGAACTGGCTTTGAATCAACTGAAAGGAGAAGCGGGAGGAACTTGCAATTATATTTTTACTGAACTCCAGAAAACATACAATAAGCACAAAGCAATAGAGTCCATGAGAGCAATATCTGCAACAACATTTAGAGTCATTTTACAAAGGATAATATCACAAAACATCTGAGGAAGTGAATCAGAATCATAGAAATGTAGAGCTAGAAGGGACCCTGAGGATCATCCAATCCTCCGCAATGCAGGAATCTCAACATAGGCACACTTGACAGATGATTTAGAGTAAGACTTAGAGCACATCTCTGACATGAGCAAATGTTCTTGAGCAGCATGTAGGCTACTGAGGAATGCCCTCCACTGTGCAGCTGGACTCATTGGAAGTTGTAGTCAATGTCCATTCTTGTTCACGCAAGATGACCAACATGCTGTGTCAGATTTGTCTTTAGAAACTTACTCCTCAATCCACCCGATTCAGATAAATTAATCTTTCTGAGAATGCCACGTCCCATGTTTTGTCCAGCCAGCCAACCTTTCATTGAAAATCCAGTTGACTTCCATTGGCTGTCTATCTCTAGTAGTGTCATTGCCCCCCAAAGAGCCTTCAGGCCAGAGGGGAAACATTAGGGAACCCACCCACCCCTTTTTATTCTTTTATACTTAGAGAGTTTCTCAGTATACTCCTAAACAGGCAGCATCCCCTGAACAGGCCTGATGCTGTGCAACAGTCACCAACTGACCTTAAAATACCCGGGCTGGATTGCCCCTCTTCATACCTGAGCTCCAGGAAGAGTCAAAGCAATGTCTTATCTGCCGAAGTAACACACTAAGGGGTTGGCAAAAAGGATATCCCTTGTTTCTGGAGAGAATCCCAATCCTAATTGCTGCTGAAAACAGGAAACATTAGGGAACCCACCCCCCTTTTGAATGTTTTAATTAAAGATTGCCTTGGGTTAGTACATACATTGTTTCATAAATTTTTCTTTAGAGATCAATGATATTCTTTCTGAGACTTTAACGTATAAAGTATAAGGTTGGGGGAGAAGAGCAGGGGGGAGAGATGGGGGGTTAGTGAACTTTCATTCTTTTACATAGTGCATGCACAAGGTTTTGGGTCAGCGCCACGTGGGTAGGTTCTCTTCCTTTTTTCATTTATTAGTTTTTGTTGGCACTGAGAGGCATTGGGGGGCCTAGGGCATGGTTGATGGCCCCCTTCTTTAAAGAAGAGACAGTGGTACCTTGGTTTAAGAACAGTTTAATTTATGAATAACTTGGATTGGGAACGCTGCAAACCCAGAAGTAGGTGTTTTGGTTTGTGAACTTTTCCTTGGTTTAAGAACATGTTCCACATCCTGTTGAGTGTGTTCCAGTTGTAAATTGAGTCCCCCGCTGCTATGGGAAAGCATGCCTTGGTTTAAGAACGCTTTGGTTCAAGAACGGACTTCTGGAAAGGATTAAGTTCATAAACCAAGGTACCACTGTACTCACCCTCTTCTGGTGAATTCTCAGACAGGCATGCAGACAGAAATTGACTTGGCGCTTCCCAAAGCAAAAGGGACCATCTAAAACTATTAACTCAAGAGTATCAATAAAGGCAAACTTTAAAAAGCATACATAACATATTTAAATAGAAAGGTGTTTAAATAATATACTGTTAACAACTCCTTTAAACACTATTATTTATACATAAAGTTACATGATAAAAACATTTTCAGTATAGAAGAAAGGTCACTAATAAACACATTGAGCATTTGAAAAGTGCCGTAAAACCCAGCACTCCACTCAGGAGATTCTGGCCCAAATTTCCTCGTCCCTCAGAGCATTTTTGTCGGCAGTTTCTTTTTTCCAGGTATTTCTGGGGAACAGCCAGGACAGCACTGGGTTGAATCTAACTGCTGCAGGTCAAAAGAAAATGGGATTCTTACCAAGCTAGTGGTCTTTCACTCTTTCTCCAGGGATGGAAAGAAATTCGCTTTCAGAGAAGTCAAGAGATGTGTAGAGCAGAGGAACCCACCTTTGGTTTAAATAGCCAAATGATCAGTATCTTAATCTTAATCAAGATTAAGATGCTCATTGACATTTGGAACTCACACACTCGTTCCACCAGGGACAAGCCATTACAGGGCACAGGGAGTTACTTCCCGAAAGCACTTCACAGTTCTCATCACCTCATTGGTTCTCCAATGAGAAGAAACGTTAAGTCATGTAACTCTGTCCTTAAGTACAAGGTGGGGTTAATATTCCCCCACCAATTTATGATAGTTCAAATGCGGCATGAGGCACCCTGATCTGAAGTGGGAGATTAGTGGGGAAGTGTGAGGATGATGTCAGGAGGTTATCAGCTGGTGGTTGGGACTTCCAATCCTGCCTTGGGGAGTTTCCCCTGCCCCTTTCCAAAAGCCCTTTGCTTCTCATTGAAGCTCAGCACTTGGTGCTCCAGAGACCCCTTTGCCCTCGCCCAGCCGCCTTTGCGCTTGCCCATACCTGACCTCAGATAGGATGTCAGGTGATTGGGAAGCTGGCCCAGAATTGTCTGATGGGCGAAATGGGGAGGTCTGGTAGGCCTCCTTGAGGCTGAAGGTTCATCATCCTTGCCCTGGCACAATAATATTTAGAAAAGAAACACATGTCAAAATACCCTGCAAAGTTTAACGTGAAGAAGTGGGGAAGAGGAAGATGCAGGAACACTGCAAAAAACATTAAGAAGGAATGCAGGATGAATGCTCATTGTCATGTAACATCAACACAACATGCACATCAAATATCCTTAATAAAGGCCAGGTATGCCCAATCTCCATGTGAACTTTGTTGAAGGAAATTGGGAAGAATCCTCACTGAATGCTTCACCTGGAGGAGACCTCCCATCAAATTGTGTTTGACAGGTACCAAGGAGTCCATGGGGTGGCAAGAAGCTGTTTCCTCCAAGCCCTGCTTATAGGCTTTCTGTAGGCATCTACAGAATCAGAGCCTGGACTGGTTGGAGCCATTGACGGATTAAGCAGTGCATTTTATGTCACTCAAGGCAAGTGAAGGGGAGCATGGAGGATAGCACAGATAAGCTGAAATATACATTCCAGTTTATCAATATTCTTCTTTAGCTGTGTTGCCCAGAACTAGACACCGTGCAAGAGATCAACTTCATCGCCCTCCTCTGCACACATTCCAGCTTATCAATATTTTTCCTGAACTTCTTGAACTAAACACAGTAATCTAAGTGTGGTATGAACAAGGAAAAATAGAGCTGTAGCACAAGATACTCTAGGATCAATCAAGCATGTGTGTGTGTGTGTGTGTGTGTGTGTGTGTGTGTGTGTATCCCCAAATAGAAGCAAACAGATAATATCAACATAAAACATCTCCCCTCCTCTCATAACGGAACAGGAGAGCAGGAGCATTAGCACCATATATACGGAAATCATACATGAATGAAAGGCAAAAATAAATGCACACAGGAATAAATGTCTGATTCAGATATCTGAAGATGCACATCAATGAGCAGCTGTTCGGAACCTTTGATTCTCCAGCTAATCAAAAATTCTGGGAGTATAGCCAGAGATAAGAGTGAGTGAGTCCGAGAGACAGGGAGTCTGACATGTGGGAGTTAACTTTTCTTGGTGAGGAATGCATTGAGGTTTTCTCCATACGAAATAATGGAAATCACTGGGCAGCTTGTTTTATAAACTGTTTCTCAGGAGCAGATTACATTCACATAGTAGGACTTGCATGTACAAGTACAGAAATAGGAGCTGGACCTCAGCCGAAGACCAGGAGAGGATGATGGAAGCCAAATTGTCTTGGTGGTTTCCAATAGAGATTCTTAGCTATGTGATTCAGAAGTCTCTAAAGTAAAGTCCCACTATATAGCGTTAAAGGATAATGACCTTTCTTCACCCCACAGCAAATAACAGTCTGTGGGTAATCTTTTCTAAGACTGCAATGTTCCTAATGTTCTTATACCATGTTTGCAAGGATAGATTGTCCAAAAGTTCCTATTGTTGTACTACTGTTTGTCTGACAGCAGCCAGTAAGGATGCTAGAAGTTCCTTCGAATGGAAGCCGTTGTCTGAGTCCAGAAATAAAGGTAGTATTGATTGATCTAACAGATACCTGGTTATCATGTTGCCCTGTTATATCAAAGCATCATTGTAAGCCAAAGACAGAATAGCAAATAAGGAGCTGTCCTCTTAAATTAAGATATATAATACATAATTCCCTCCATTGTTTCAAATCCAGGATTGTGATGCAGCACTACAAATCTTCCAATGGCAATGGCTGTCTTAAATTTTTAATATCTATAAGAAGACATACGGTAATTCCCTCCATTGTTTCAGCACGTCCAGGAAATGAATATTCCTCTTAAATCCTATGTCAGACAGTGTATCCGTGCCAGAGGCATGATTTTTAGTCTTAGCCACATACCCATTGATGAGGCTGTGGATTTTGTGTAGATAAGGACAGGACTGCAGGATGTGTTTCAGGGGCTGTGTGTCTATGCATTCAGGCTATGCTATCAGATCCTTCAAGTGTCCCAATTTAATCAGGACATCCTGAATTGACAGAAGCTGCTCTGGCTTCTGAGTCCCAATCCGGGATGTCCTGATTTTCCCAAAGACCGCTCTAAGCTGCGCTGCATCTCAAAATGCAGCATGGGCTGGAGCGATCTTCCTGGAGGCTGCTCTAGGCTATGGGAAAGGAAGAGGTCAGCAGCAGGGAGGCGGCGAGCGACGGAGATGGTTGGTGGTGGGGTGCCCTGAATTTTTCTCACAAAATGTTGAAGGGTGTATGCTAACAACAACCAAGAAATACATCAATGGGTCCAATATACATTCCTTTGGGGGGCTTTCTCCAATGTGCACATTCGTATTTGTGAGATGGGTGATGGAGAAGAAAATGATTGGGGAGCTGTGCATTAGGCAATTCTGACATGGATATAGGAAACAGTCAGGATATAGGAAACACACAGCCTTGGTAAGGTGCGCCCTGTTCTCCACGTCAGCACAAGATGCCTAATTGTCTTCCCTAATGCCACTTGGTCTTAGTCCAGAAAGAGGTTGCATCACCCAACAGAGCTGAAGAAGGGCTATATAAAGAAAGCAGAGAGCACCATCCTGGGCACGGCAGGGACCAAAGGCAACTCTTCCTTGCCTCTATTCTTTGTGGAGGACACTCCAGTTCTGACTCATCATGAAGTCGTGTCTCATTCTGCTAGCTGCAATGCTGCTGGTTTCAACGCTGAGCAGTTCAGATGGTGAAGATAAACTGGGCCGCGTAGTAAGTAATGTTAAATGTTTGTGGGTGTCTGTATGTGGGATGGTTTGTGGGTGTGAATTGGCTCCTTGCTGTATAGGGCATACAGTAGATGAGTTCAGTTGCTCATTCTAAAACGAAACAAATAGGGTGTGAGTAGAAGATGAGAGCCTGGGTTGTTTCCTACTCAGAGCAGACCCATTGAAATTAACGGGTGTGACTAACAGGCCCGGGGGGGGGGGGGACAACTCAAATTGAGCATGAGTTGAACTTTGTACAAAGTTCTGAAGTAAAAAAGGGAGGGAGGGGGAGAAAATGCATTGTGTCTGATGTTGGTCCTACACATAAGAACATATGAAGAACCAATGACTCATCTAATCTAGCATCCTGTTCTTCCCATAAAGCAGGAGCCAAGCACAAGAGCAGTCTCCTGTTCTGCAGTTTCCATCAATTGGGTTAGGGCTGCCATATTCCCCAAAGTGAAAGTTGCCATGCGGAGTTCCCAGAAATTTTAGTCAATTTGGCAAAATCCACCCGGATGTCATTTTGCCAGTCTGATTCCCTGGAAAACTTGGATATGTGGCAGTCCTCATTTGGATGCATTTCAGCCTCTGACTGTGGAAGCAGAGCAGAGTCATCCTGACTAGTAGCCATCAGAGTAGACTCACTACAGTTAATGAGCATGGTTAACTTAGAACCTTTAATTTCCATGGGTTTCCTCTGAGCAGGACTTAGCTAGATTGCAACTCTTTGTTTAATGCTTCAGTTACAAGAGCTGGTTAATTTGTAACTCAGAAATCCTGGCGGGGGGGGGAGGACTAAAGGGAGCCAAAGTATCATCTAGTCCTGTCCCCTTCAATGCAGGAATCACAGTTCCCAAATCCCTAGCAGATGGCCATCCAACCTCTGCTTAAAAACCTCCATGGAAGGTGAGTCCACCACCTTCTGAGGTTGTCCATTCTATTCTCAAACAGCTCTGACCATTAGGAAGCTCTTTCTGGCGTTTAATTGGAATCTCCTTTCATGCCTTTGGAATCCACCGGTTCGAGTCCCACTCGCTGGAGCAGCAGAAAACAAGACTGTTCCTTCTTCCATGTGACATCCTGTCAAGAGGTCCATCCCACACAATGTCAGAATCAGGCCAGCACCCTCCAATTGGCAGGCGTCTCCTCTATTGTCATTTCTGTGCCCGCTACAGATGTTCTACTTTTGATAAGCTTTCTAAAAACTTTGTCTCTCTTGGATTTTCCATTGCTTTCATGGGTGTGCTATTGCTCTTTTAAAACTGCTTTTATGTTTCATATATATGGTATTATATTGTAAGTCACTTTGGGAAGTGCTTCACTAATAATAGTAGTAAAGGTAAGGTAAAGGGACCCTTGACCATTAATAATAATATAATAATAATTTATTATTTATACCCCGCCCATCTGGCTGGGCTTCCCCAGACACTCTGGGCGGCTTCCAAAAAAATATTAGAATACTGTAATACATCAAACATTAAAAGCTTCCCTAAACAGTCGTGGACGACTCTGGGGTTGCAGCGCTCATCTCACTTTATTGGCCTAGGAGCCGGCGTACAGCTTCCGGGTCATGTGGCCAGCATGACTAAGCCGCTTCTGGTGAACCGGAGAGGCATACGGAAACATTGTTTACCTTCCCGCCGGAGCGGTACCTATTTATCTACAGTGGTACCTCAGGTTACATACGCTTCAGATTACAGACTCCGCTAACCCAGAAATATTACCTCGGGTTAAGAACTTTGCTTCAGGATGAGAACAGAAATCGTGCGGCGGCGGCAGCACAGCGGCAGCAAGAGGCCTCATTAGCTAAAGTGGTACCTCAGGTTAAGAACAGTTTCAGGTTAAGAACAGACCTCCAGAGCGAATTAAGTTTTTAACCCGAGGTACCACTGTACTTCTCCTAGCAGTTCGAAAGCACGTCAAAGTGCAAGTAGATAAATAGGTACCACTCCGGCCAGAAAGTAAACAGCGTTTCCGTGCGCTGCTCTGGTTCACCAGAGCAACTTAGTCATGCTGGCCACATGACCCGGAAGCTGTACGCCAGCTCCTCGGCCAATAAGCGAGATGAGCGCCGCAACTCCAGAGTAGGTCACAACTGGACCTAATGGTCAGGGGTCCCTTTACCTTTTTACCACTGTACTTGCACTTTGTGCTTTCGAACTGCTAGGTTGGCAGGAGCAGGGACCGAGCAACAGGAGCTCACCCCATCGTGGGGATTCAATCCGCCAACCTTCTGATTGGCAAGCCCTAGGCTCTGTGGTTTAACCCACAGCACCACCTGCGTCCCTTAATAATAGCAGCAGCAACAACACCTTTCCCCAGTTTTCTCCTTCTCCTGATCTTCCCAATCCAATGCTAAAGAGGGTTGAGGGGATGGCACATCAATATGGGAAAGGTCCGAGAAGCACCTACTCCAGGTGCTAAACCTAACCTGCCTCCTTCTTCCTACAGATCAGGGCTACTTGCAAAACATTGACCCAGCAGATCCCAGTTGGGCAGAATCCCCTCCCCCAACTCCTGCTGGGACCCTATACTGAGTCGCAGACATGGAGCACGGGATGTTCCATGATGCCACCTGTCAATCAGAGCAACCAGCAACCGGCAGCAGGGAAAGAAAATGTGTTTTGGTAAATAGTGTTGCTGAGTATCACTTACATATAATGGAAAAAAGCCAAGGCAAAAAATGTTTTAACTAGCAAGTAACATTGTAGTAGGAAGCGGGTGGTGCTGTGGGTTAAACCACAGAGCCTAGGACTTGCTGATCAGAAGGTCTTTGAATCCCCGTGATGGGGTGAGCTCCCATTGCTCAGTTCCTGCTCCTGCCCACCTAGCAGTTCGAAAGCACGTCAAAGTGCAAGTAGATAAATAGGTACCGCTCCGGTGGGAAGGTAAACGGCATTTCCGTGTGCTGCTCTGGTTCGCCAGAAGCAGCTTAGTCATGCTGACCACATGACCCGGAAGCTGTACGCCGGCTCCTCAGCCAATAAAGCGAGATGAGCGTCGCAACCCCAGAGTCGGTCACAACTGGACCTAACGGTCAGGGGTCCCTTTACCTTTACCTAACATTGTAGAATGACATATCTACTATTGTTCTAATGGGCAAAAATAATGTTAAATAGGTTAGTGTAGATCCATCCTTGGATACATTTCTCTTCCTCTCCCTCTCTCTGACCAGGGCAATGACAAAAACGTCTTCAAGCGCAAAGTGGTCTATACGAAAGACAGGATTAAGTCTGCGGCCAAAGCAGCCGCCCTAGGAAACATTATAAAAAGCAGTTTGTTTCCTGATGACTCCGATGATGATGATGATGGTGAGGACCTAGACAACCTTATTATAGAAGTTAGAAGAAGTAATACTAAATGTACTCTCTCTCCCTCTCTCTCTCTCTCTCTCTGTGTGCGTGTGTGCACAATCTTTTTATTTTATTTTATCAGGGCAAATGTCCACTAACCAGCCAAACTATTTGGGTTAAACGGGTTTACTTCCTCATTGACCATGCAGCTCTTCTGAGCATGCTCAACGCTCTAAGGCCACACCTGCACACCGTTAGCTATCCTATGGGTATGACGATCAGTGAATACAACCCAACGGACAATCTCTGAGTAGGAATAGCAAGAGACACATAAGGCTTCACATGTTTCACCCCCGTGTATTATTTTTTGGAACTCCCAATAAACCATCCATGGTCCTGGCAAAAATCAGTTTGGCTTCTTCAAATAAATTTTGAGATCTCTTGCTTGGGCTTTTTCAGGGGTGACTCTCCCCCACCCCCCTATGTGGAATGCTCTCCCCCAGGGAGGCATGTCTGACATAATCTTTACCTGTTTTTTGGTGCCAGGCAAAGACGTTTGGCTTTTAAAGGCTGGCGCTGTGACCTGTTTCAGTGGGGAAGGATCTCGGAAGCTGAATTTTTAGTTTACATTGGATCTTCCAGATTGCTTTTAATGTACGGCACTATGGGTCACCCTGTGAGAAAAGCAAATAGCACATGGCGGTGATGTTTATATTTATTTATTTATTCATTGCTTGTTAGAGATCTCCAAGTGACTTGCTACATGCCTGCATTGCAGGAGCTTAGACTAGGTGATCCAATGTGTCCCAACTGTATGGTTCTCTATGACTCCATGAACATTGTAACAGCATATGATTAAGGGGTGGGGGTGCCCATTTCATTTGTTGGACCCATGGCCATGGGTAAGTAGCTCCAGAGCCAATTACAGGCAGAACCCTTCCTCTACACAGATGAGTTCTGCAAGGGCAAAAGATCAGAGGAAGGGAGCTGACTGGCAGTGCCACCTCTTGGGTCTGTTGTAATTAAGAAGCTGGCGGGTGAGGTGAAGGTTGATTGAGGTTATGGAGTCCTGTGCCTCATTCATCCTGAGGCTTTAGCCCATTCCTGCCCATAGCATTGGATACAGCCCAAGGAAAACAATGAGCAGTTCCCCTCCCCCCATCTACTACACTGACCTTCCCTAAAAGCGGTTCAGGGCAAGGAGGCCACTGACAGGCAAGTCAATGTAGGGAGGGCCTGAAAGCCACTACTGCAGCAATGAGGCCTTAATCTCTTTTCTTTCTACAAATAGAGTATCTCGACTTCTGATTACGAACCGTACCTCAGTTGTCCACCCGACGCCAAAGTTCAGTGAAGCCACATAAGACAGACGAGCCTGTCCAGCAAAGCAGTCCTCATTGCGGATGTTCCTCCTCAGCACCACAAACCCAGAATGTAGAAACCCAGATTGAGCGAAAGATAAGTTCCTTTGGACCCCAACCCACCAATATATCTGAGGAGCATGATACTTATAAATTTGGTTCAGCTCCAGGTTTCTTTTGAGGGAGAGGTGGGCAGTAGTTCTTCATTTCACACTCAAATCCACACAGGAAACTGCAAATAATGAAGCATTCTTTGTTTTAATTTCTGTTGTGCAACCAATGATCAAAGTATTGATTAATTACCACAACAGTGGGAAAGGTTTTTAATAACTTTGATGTTTTCATTTCTTTTCCTCCTTGGCACTCTTTGCTATAATCGCATATAACACAAGTGTAATGCAAGTAATAAAACATGCTTTGTTTTAATTTCTAAAGTATAAGCAATCAATTGTGGCAAGAGAAGAAAAGCTTTAAATAACTTCAATTGTTGTTTTATTTTCACATAATTAATAAAGAGGGCATTGCACGGAACATCACTCCTTTGTCTATTTTTCCTTTAGTGTGTCATTTCTGTAAATTTTAATGCCCCCAGGAGAGGAGAGGGGATTATTTACAGAGGGGGAAAGTTGATAATGCTTAAATCACAATTAAACTAAAAGGTGAAAGTTTTCAGGGGGGAACTCTGAATACCTAGTGTTCAAAACCAGTTTGAAATGGTTTCTGGAGCTGAGAGAGAGAGAATTCCAGAGTGAAAGTGAAAAGGTGATTTTTGTGGTCAGTTTGCTGGAAGGGGAGGCCAAGCGATGGGTGACTCCTCTCCTTGTTGATGGACATCTGGACTCATTCTTGAAACTAATGGATGCTATTTTCCAGGACCCACAGTGGGACGCCACCACATCCCAACAACTACTGAGTCTAAAGCAAGGGTGTAAAACCATGATGTAGTACACCATGGAATTTAATACGTTGTCTCAACAATTGGAATGGGGGAGAGAAGGCACACAAGACGTTATATCGAGCCAGGCTGAACGGGGACCTAATCGAAAAGCTAGCCAGGATGCCCCCCCCTTCTTCCTTGGAAGGTCTGATACAGACATCACTACAATTGGATCAATGAGCGATTGAAAGCAAGGCGGAGAGGAGCAGGCTGGGCAAGCAGTCATTCAAGATGGCTGACATTCCTTTAAAAACAAATAAAAAAATATTAAGTACAAATTAGAAAACATACATATTTACAAAAGAAAAAGAAAATACATATAACCAAAAAATTAATAATAATTAGAGAATACTTTGTCTCTTTTCATATTACAGTTATTTATACCTCTATAAAATGCTATTCACAATAAAGGAGTGAAATGAAAGGTAAGATATCAGAAAAAAGAAGAACAAAGAAAAAATAAAGTAAAAGAAAAAGATCATAAGTGAAAAATTTTTTAAGTAGATAAGTATTCACTATAAATAGCCGTTTCCCATCTATATTTATATTCGATTGTATAATTTCATCTTGTCCTTATCTATCTTAAATAAAATGTTTTTCAAAAGACTTCCACCGTTTGCCTCACGCGTTTTTAATAATCCATTCGTCAGATCCTCTGTTCTTCATTTTTTTCCCTTTGGATTTCCTTGATGTCTCACTTTGTATTTTTTATATTACACACAGGATTATTCTAAACACAACCAGATTTTTGTCGCCGAGCCCTGGTTTTGTAAATAATCATTTAAGAACTCCCATTGCTTCATAACCATAGTTTTGGATTTTCTCCTTATTATAGCCGTCAGTTTTGCTAGTTCCAGGTACTCACAAAGTTTCCCCAACCATTCTCTTTTTGTTGGGATGCTGTCCTCTTTGATGGCCGACATTCCTGACACCCCTGTGCAAAGGTTTGGCAGTATGCCCAGAGAGGACCTGGGGGAGGAACTAATGCAGCTCAGCTCAGTGGGAGGCAGGCTCCAGACAGCTCCAGCTGAGAGAGAGCGGAGGAGAAGAGAGAGGCTGTGCTTCATCTGTAGCAAAGCAAATCACATAGTGAGGCAGTGCTCTAGCAGAGTGGTGTTGGGTTCACTTTCGGGAGCAAGTGTGGGGGAGAAGCCTGACCCTAAGGAGAAGCAGGTGGGAAAGGAAAGTTCCCAGTCCCTCTAGGAGGCCCAGGACTGGGAGTAAAGTTAGCCAAAGGGTCTCAACTGGGTCCAGTGATTCTGCCCCACCAGGCACCCGCCGCTTAAACGGACTTTGCAAGGGTGGTAGGGAAAAGAGTGCATGAAAATCCAAAGCCTGGCAGCAGAGGAAGAACGCCTCTTAAAGTGACAGGCAGCTCTTTAGAACGCCAGGGGTGTGAGTGTGAAAAGCTACTTAAATACTCCCAGGATATTGCAAGAAGGCGCCCTCTAATTCACTCTAAGAAGGACGTTGCTCTCTAAGCTCACCAAATGCTGCCCAATCCCTGTTCGATACAGAGGCGATTAGAAAGCAACAACGAGGGGTAGAGCACCAAAGGGGGGGCCGGATAGCGGCAGCTCAGAAGCCCCTGTTTCCACCCAAGGGAAGGCTGTGAATGAGGACGCGAAGAGAACTCACAGCCCCACTGAAACAGTGCAAAGCCACAATGCTGAATAAATAAACTATGTCACTCAAGTCCACCTGCTCCCCAGCAGAAAACCACAAACCTTGACAACGTCCTGCAAACACACACCACACACTGCTTCACTCGCATGCACACACGCAGCCCCCCAACGCCCACGCTACAAGAGTAACCTTTTGCAATCAGCGCAGCAATGCACGATCTTGCTGTCTTTATTGCCCTTGAGGGAGCAGCGCCCGGAGATCCTGAGTCAAGGGCTGGAGCCGCGTGGAGGGAGGCGAGGAGCAGGTGATTAAGCAGCAGCAGGAGCTGAAACGACTGAGAGATGCGTGGCGTGAGGCTGAAAGGGAAGCCTCAGATTTGCGCCAAGGCTTAAATCAGCCCCGGCCACGCCCCCAAGCGACCTGATTGGCTGCCTGGCAACGTGGCATGGCTGGGGTCTCCACCAGCATGACGTGAGATACTGTCCCACCCCCACACTGTGAAGGGAGTCTAGGCAGCCTGTCCGCAACCCAGCCCCACCCAGAAGCGGAGCAGATTTCCTGGACTCACATTGCTTGCTGTGCTACTGTTCCCAGACGAGAGTAGGATGCAGTTTAGAGCCCTCATAGATTCAGGGGCTTCTACCGACTTTATAGATCAGGACTTTGTAGAGGAATATGGTCTACAAACACAGAGACTGGCGCCACCCCACAAGTGCAAACCATAGATGGGAGGCCTCTGGTATCAGGGACAGCCTCTTTTTTAAAAAAAATATATAATGATTTTTATTAACAAACCAATCAAATCACATTAGTTCCAAATTACAAAACCAAATTTTAAATTTTGTTGGAGGTACCCATGCTTCGAGCTCAGAAAGGGTCCAATCCTCTCATATTTCTGCTGCTTTGATGTTCACAGTTCTGTCCATTCATCTCTTTGTTGTTTTCCTTTACAAATCATCTTTCAATTTTCTTGTTGTTATCGTATTTTTTTTCCTTTCTTTATAACCCCTGAAAGTCTCCACAAGCGAGTTGAAACGAACATTGTTGTAATTCTGTGTGGATTTTCACATTAATCCAAAAGTCGTATTCACACGGCAGGTGCCATTACAGCATTTCCATAAAATACAGTCTCAGCGTCTGCTCATTAACTTTCTCAGACCTGTTGCTCCGACATCAATCTTTTTCAGGGGAGTTCTGCCAGATCAAACGCAGAGTCAAATATGATAACAAAGCTGTGGCTTCCTCCCCCTCTTGACCGTCAATCCTGCAACAGAGCCTGTCTTGTCCTGGCGATTCTCTTTTAGAACTACGTCATCCCAAAAGCCTTCCATTTCCTTTCCAGATCTTCCACAAAGCAAAGCCTTTAGTTAATGAATTTATTTCCACATAGTTCATTATTCCGTCTCACTTGTTATCGGTCATTGAAACGGTTCTTCTTGGGGGGGGGGGGTTGTTAGGTAATCACATAGAGAAAAAAAGAAAAGTTCCCCCCCCCTTCCGCCCCGTTCCGACATACCGACATCTTTGATGTTGATATAATTTCTTGTTCAGTCCAACCCGTCGCTCAGCATCACAGAGGTTGTTTCAGTTAGCAATCAATAATCCCTTTATTCACTTGAAACATGTGCATTTGCTGTTCTCTAATTATTTATCTTGAGCTCCTGCAACCAGGTCGCGTGATCAGAAGTAGCGTCCGGGAGAGCGAAAAACACACACAAGGGCTTTACGTCTAGTGCCCTCACCCCCTCCTTCTTTCAAACTCGGGGGTGATTTATGTGCATCCACAGATGAGGCAGTGTTTTCCCATTCCCCCTGGGAAAACTCGGGAGGCTAATTACTCCCATATTAGCCTCTTAATTACCTCGTGTGTGCCGGAGAGATGGTACTGTCGGCCATCTTCCAATGCACCCCTAGCAGCCCCCCTGGTGTCAGGGACAGTCTCACATACAAGTGTGCCACTGGTTTTGGAAGTGCGTGGCCACAGGGAACAAGCCACATTTCACATCACGAAATTAGCCACCTACCCTCTTGTGTTGGGAATGACGTGGTTATCCAAACATGATCCAGTGATGGCCTGGGGGCAGCGATCCATAAAAATTGCTTCAGCTTATTGCCACCTGCATTGTTTATGTATTGAGGGCCCAGTAGTGGCGGCTGCAAGGGGGCGGAGGCATTGGGACCCCTAACTGGAGAGGAAGGGTAGTTGCCTCCCCAGTACAAGCTCTACCATAATAATAATAATAATAATAAATTTTATTTATATCCCGCCCTCCCCAGCCGAAGCCGGGCTCAGGGCGGCTAACAACAATAAAACAGTACAAAAGTACAGCATAAACAACAGTCTAAAATCATTCGTTATAAAATTAATTAATTCAAGCCACTGGCAACCATTGGGCCAGAGCTCCGCGAAGATTGCCGAGGGAGGGAGTCAGGCTGTGCCCTGGCCAAAGGCCTGGTGGAACAGCTCTGTCTTGCAGGCCCTGCGGAAAGATGTCAAGTCCCGCAGGGCCCTGGTCTCTTGTGACAGAGTGTTCCACCAGATCGGAGCCACAGCCGAAAAGCCCTGGCTCTAGTTGAGGCCAGCCTAACTTCTCTGGGGCCTGGGACCTTCAAGATGTTTTTATTCGAAGACCGTAAGTTTCTCTGTGGGGCATACCAGGAGAGGCGGTCCCGTAGGTACGAGG